CATTTTGTCCTAGGTCTAAAACATGGCCAGATGCAAATTGTCCTTTCTTTGTTTTCTTTGGCTGGGAATACCAGCTCAAAGTAGTAAGCAATGTCAGAAATATTCTGAGTTTCTTTTGGGTGTGCAGAGGGTGGGGCACAGAATGCTTGGTTTGTAGGGAATCGGGGTTTCACAGGCTTGGCTCTATAAAGACCTGGGTTCGAATTCTGGCTCTGCCAATCTCTTGGCACATTACATAAACTCTTTAAGCTCCATGTTCTCATTTAGAAAATGAAGATAATAACATCGTAACCTCATTGTGTTCTTGTGAGAACTAAAGGTGATCATACGTGGAAAGCATATGCCACCAAACTTTGGGTTTTTTGTTGTTGTTAATAGTAAGAGTGAAAGTGTTAATCCTGGTGGTCATTGCGGTAACATCTGCCAGAAGAACAGAGCAGGAGAAAATACATCCTCCACCATCTCCCACTCTTTGATATGGACTGTACCAGTCAGGATGGGCTCAGTTATGCCCTGGTAACAAACATCCCACTCCACCCCACCCCTGCTGCACCGCAAACCTCTGAAAGTTATAAACTATGAATGTTTATTTGTGGATCATACAGATTTCTCCATGGACCCAAATGACTCTCCAGGGTAGTTTGTCTCTGTGTTGGCTCCATACTCCAGGCTGATTTGTTCCAATGATATCTCCATAGCAACACCTGCTCACTTAGCAACCACGGAGGAGAAAGCTCGGTGATTCTTACCTTGACTCTCAAGTGCTCCCACCCTGGAGGTTTCTCACATCTCTCCCAGTTCTATTTTATTGGGTAAAACAAGTTACATGGCTTTGCCTTCAAAGCAGTGGGGAAGGACAGTCCCTCCACTTGTCCTGAAGTCAAGGAGACCTGGACATATTGGAGAAGAGGCACTCATGTTGATCACGTAGACATTTAGCCTTTTCTCACTCTTGGAAACACAGCTTGAGCTTCCAACCAGGTGGCTGAAAGCCCTGCTGTGTAGAGATTCTGGCATTGCCACTGTTGGAGATGATCTTTCGGGATCATGGAGCCGGCTCTGTCCTAGACAAGCAGAGGGAGCAATTTCTGGGCACTTCAAGGGAATCATACCTCCTGGACTGGAGCTCGTCCGCCCAGTGTTTTCTCTCACACCCTTCACCCCAAACGATATTGCGGTATGGCATGGAAGTTGTGGCTTCCTCGCACTGGAGGGCACCCTGGGAACACCCCTCATAGTCCAAATGTGGAAGCTGAGGCCCAGGCAGTGTGTGCTTGCTGTGTTCCTTGTGTCTTGTGGTTTTCCTGGAGTCCCAATGGTTCATGATTAGCTCATCATTAGACCTATGTCTGGACGGAGGCCTCCTGCCTCTGCCCGGTGACTTTCTGCCGTCCCCCTCCTCCACCACCCGCACTCACTCATTCTCCTTTAGGAGCCAAAACGTCCCAAGCACTTGGCTGGTCTGGCTTTCTGGGCCATTATCGGTCCCTTCTAAGGCTGAGGGGCAAACCTGTGAATTTGGTGGTTGCTTAGATCTCCAACAGGAGGATCTTTAGCATCTTTTTCCTTTCCTTCCAGCTTTTTGTTGTTTGTTTCCAGATAGAAAGATAGGAAATGGGACATGCTAACAGCTGCCATCACAGGGACCAAACCATCATCATTTTAGAATGAGAGTGAGAAATGCTATCCCCTTCCCCAATACCCCACCAACACGTGCCCCCCAGAGGTTCCTACTGTCATTTTATTGAGACTGTGCATATATAGGGTGTTTGGCCAGATACAGTAATATAGAGCTCACGCGTATACTTGGGTTTTATTGAGGTAACATTGGTTAATAACATTGTATACATTTCAGGTGTACAACATTATAATTCCATATCTGCATGCTCTTGGGGGCTGGCCACTCAAAGTCTAGCTCCCTTCTGTTACCATATATTTGGCCCCTCTATCCATTTCACCCTCCTCCAGCCCATTTCCCTCTTGTAAACACCATTCTGTTTTCTGTATCTTTGAGTTTGTTTGTTTTGTTAGTCTGTTTGTTACTCTTTTGTTGTATAGTCTCACATAGGAGTGAAGTCATATGATTTTTGTCCTTTTCCATCTCACTTATTTCACTTAGCATAATGCCTTCAAGATCTACCCATGTTGTTGCAAATGGCAGTGGTTGATCCTTTGTACAGCTGAATAGTATTCCACTGTACATACGCACCGTCGTCTTTATCGTTTTACCCCTTGATGCACACTTTGGTTTATTCCATGTCTTGGCTATTGCAAATAATGCTGCAGTGAACATAGAGGGCACATCAGCATCAATAGCTGTTAGGGAAATGCTTGTGCTTGTTTAGAACCCCTCCAGGCAACAGAAGGGGGCACAGCCACCCCCAGAACAATTCTGAGAGTACTCCTTGGTCCTGAACTCGTGGGCTGCTGCTGGTCTCTCGGCCCTTCTGGACTATGGTAGACGGTTCTGACTTCTGAAACCCCATGAAGCACAGGTGGGCATGAGAACCATGCTAACTGCAGACTCCTGAGCCAGTCACCAGAGACTCCAGTTCAGTGGGTCTGAGCCAGAGCCCAGGAATGTGCATTTCACCAGCACCCCAATATGATGCAGAGCTGTTTTTTTCAGGGCTCCTTGTTGATGCAGCAACACCAGGCAGGGGGGCTATAGGGGAGGCGCCGGACCTTCGGCCAGGGCAGCACCACTTTGAGCTATTTTAGAAATGAGGTTTCAGCTCAAGATTTGTTCTACTGATAAAAAATCACCAACGTGGAACACAATTTTTGAAGTTCACTGTTCCAGGCCATAGTGAGCTGGAAGAAGAGCAGTCCAGCGTGGCTGTCTGAAGACCGCCCTTTTGTTGGAGTGGCGTCTCCTTCTATACAGAACGCATTTGCTTCCTTACCCTTTAGTGGAGTCACAATTGTCCTGTTTTCCGTGCCCTGAGGGGACGGAAAACAGCGATCCTGTGCGTCCAGTGCTGGTCCCTGGGTCTTTGGCAGGGGCCTCTGTGCCCAATATCTGCCGGGACCCTTAGACCAAAGGGGAGGGTGCTCTGCTTCTGAGGACCCTTTTGGACCAGGCCCCGGGAGAGGAATGGTTTCTCTCTTGGATCCTAACTGACCACAGTTCAAGGTCAGGGAACTCGAATTTCCACTTTGCCAATAGTGGTGGCCCTGACCTGTCCCCCGTCAGCAGACCAGACGTTACAACTCCTCTCACCTACTGCCCCTTTCAGTGTCTCCATGCCATGGGGTTTTCTTCCGCAAAGTGGGAAGCCACTGAGTATCTTTGGGGCTTCTTGCTTGGATCTAATAAACTGAAGGGACAAAAGGTAGCTGCCTTGGGACCCCCAATACTAATAGCTCTGACAATGGAGGCTGCTGATTACGGGCAAGGAACCGAAGGCACAAGGGCAGGTCTGTTCAATTGTGCGTAAACGGTATTTTTTTTTCCTGTGAAGTCTCAATACCTCCCTTAGGACATTGCAGCTGAGGTTTCGTAGCCACTTGCCTTTGATATTTACTCATTGGGGATTTTACTCTCGAGAAATCACTGTGGCAACAGAACCATTTTGCCTCCATGAAGACGGTGTCAAAGTCTTAAAATCCAGGACATTTTAAGGCAAGGTTCCAACCTCATTACTGCCAGGAATAAGATTCATCCAAGGTGGAAGTGTCCTCTCTTAGAACACAAATCCGTCTCAGAATGGCTTTTCTTTCCCCTTTGTTTTGGAAGCTAAGCAATTACTTTTTTTTTTTTTTAAGGGGGAAAAAATTGTGCTAATGCACAAAACTCTCTTTTTCCCCTTTCATTTATTTGAAATGGAACTTAACGAAGTCACTTCCGAGTAAGCACTATATATGAGTAATGCTTTTTGTCCATGAAGGAGCATTGGCTCAAATGGCACGGGAGTGCTGATTCTCTCTGCTTTGTGTGAGCGTCCATAATGACAAAGTGCTCATGTCAGGGTGTATAATGAAACTATAAATTGTTTTCATGAATGCTCTGAATTTGGTCTTTTACGGGGCAAATTCAAAAGGTACTTAGTGCCACATTTCACACATGTGAATAGCACCAGACTGCACAGCATAGCCAATAAAAGTAAAGAAGCTGTGGTCAGGGCGCTCCCTGGCCCATGTGGCGGGTGACTGTCAGGCAGGGGTGCTTCAAGGTAGACGGGGAGGTGGGGGGAAGGAGGGACAAAGAGTTCCTGGAAGGTGCACCCGAATGTTTGGGGATAATTCAAAATGTGGCTAAGATACTTGGCTCATAAAACTGGCCTCTGGTGGGAGGGGGCCGCACTGGGATCACAGAAGTTGTGCACGTCTTGGCCAAGATGATGAACAAAAATTCTCAGGTGAGAAAATGTCTGCTGCTGCATGGACAGGTACCATCTATGGCAGTGCTTTATGGTTCAATTGAATTATTTTTAAGAACATTTTTTGTGTTTTTTATTATATAAACCATATGGATTTATTCTAGAAAATTTGGAAAACACAGAAAAGCCAAAAGACTAGAATTTTAAAAGCATGCAAATTATTTTGCTACCAAGTGATAATTGTTAGTAATATATAAATGTCTTATTAAATGTCTCTCTGTGTCTATCATTTTGCAAAATTTTAAGAAAATTTTGCATAATGTTATCTGGATATATAAATCCTTTTTAAGCAAAATTGGGATCCAGCTATCTATTTATTTAGCTGTGTAATTCTTAAGAAGTATTCTACTAGTTTACTTATTTGTCAATGAAATGATTTTATCAGCCCCAGTTTGCCAAAGTTCATGAACATCCAAGATTTCGGTTGTGTCTTGAGGGAAATAGGTCAGGTACTGTAGCAGCCTTTGGGTGTGTATGTCAGTTACTGACAAATGTCTCCGGGTATATGATCTCTGAAAACACAGAAAGCAACAGAACAAAATAAAAAGCCAACCCCGCAGGGCATGTTAAATGGAGACCTGCTGACGTTTTGACCAGTCACTTGGATTTATTTTGCAGTACCTGGTGTGCAAAAGGAAACTGGAGAGTAAAAAGGAAGCCCTGCTGATCCTCTCCAAGGAGCTGGACACATGCCAGCAGGAGCGGGACCAGTACAAACTCATGGCCAATCAGCTTCGAGAACGCCACCAGTCCCTGAAGAAGAAATACCGAGAGCTGATTGTACGTATTACATCTTGGTGACATTCCTGGTCCCCCATAAAGATAGAAAGAGGGCATTTTAACATGCTGTTTCTTCAAAAAAGGATTGAATTCAAACAATTCCAAAGTGGAAAAATTAAGAAGTGCAAGTCATCATCCCTGTTTCCTCCACTGTCCAGTTCCATGGGCTAGTCCTGTGTACATCCCACCAGATCCAGACTGCTTACACGGGCACCTATGAAACATGCACATGTATGTATGTGTTTGTGTGCCTGTTAACTTATTAATTTGTTCATATGGAGTATTTTTTAAGGAAACTTGTATTATAAATCCGCTCTGTCTAATTCAGAAACCACATGTGGTTATTTAAATTCCATTTTAAATTAATAGGAATTAAGTAGAATTGAGAACTCAGTTCTTTCTCCCGCTACACGGGCTCAGTTGGCAGAGTCGGCTGGCTGGGGGCGACCGTGTTAAATCGCATTGCTGTGGGACATTTCACAGGGGCCCCTGTGTCGGGCAGCTGGCTGAAGGAAGTTCCCATTTGCTGTGGAGTTCTGTTGGATACCATTGTAGGCGTGCTGCTCTGAAACTTGCTCTTTTCTTTTCTTTTTTTTTTTCCAGTGTCTGGCATCCAGTAGGTGCCAATTGGACTGTTTTATGTATTTTCTATTTTTATATATTTTATTGATTATGCTATTACAGTTGTCCCATTTTTTTCTCATCTTTATTCCCCTCCGTCCTATACCAGTCCACCCCCCAACATGCCCCCCCGCTTAGTTCATGTCCATGGGTTGTACATATAAGTTCTTTGGCTTCTCCATTTCCTACGCTATTCTTAACCTCCCCCTGCCTATTTTGTACCTATTATTTATGCAGCTTATTCCCTGTACCTTTTCCTCTATTCTTCCCCCTCTCCCTCCCCTCTGTTTTACTGTTCATAGTTTTTGATCTTCTTTTTCTTAGATAAGTCCCTTTAACATTTCATATAATAAGGGCTTGGTGATGATGAACTCCTTTAACTTGACCTTACCTGGGAAATGCTTTATCTACCCTTCCATTCTAAATGATAACTTTGCTGAACAGAGTAATCTTGGATGTAGGTCCTTGTCTTTCATGACTTTGAATACTTCTTGCCAGCCCCTTCTTGCCTGCAAGGTTTCTTTTGAGAAGTCATCTGATAATCTTGTGGGAACTTCTTTGTAGGTAACTGTCTCCTTTTCTCTTGCTGCTTTTAAGATTCTCTCCTTGTCTTTAATCTTAGGTAACTTAATTACAATGTGCCTTGGTGTGTGCTTCCTTGGGTCCAACTTTTCTGGGACTCTCTGAGCTTCCTGAATCTCCTGGAAGTCTATTTCCTTGGCCAGATAGGGAAAGTTCTCCTTTATTATTTTTTCAAATAAGTTTTCAATGTCTTGCTCTTCCTCTTCTGCTTCTGGCACCCCTATGATTCAGATGTTGGAGCATTTAAAGTTGTCCCAGAGGTTCCTAAGCCTCTCCGCATTTTTTTGAATTCTTGTTTCTCTGTTTTCTTCTGGTTGAATCTTCTCTTCTTTCTGTTCCCAGTCAATGATTTGAGTCCTGGTTTCTTTCCCTTTACTGTTGGTTCCCTGTATATTTTTCTTTATTTCACTTTGTATAGCTTTCGTTTTTTCCCTCCATTTTGTGACCATACTCAACCAGTTCAGTGTGCATCCAGATTACAAGTGTTTTGAACTGTGCGTCTGATAGGTTGGCTATCTGTTCATTGCTTAGTTCTATTTTTAGAGCTTTGATCTGTTCTTTCATTTGGGCTATATTTCTTTGTTTCAGGGCACCTGTTACATTGGAAGGGGCAGAGCCTTAGGTATTTGCCAGGGCAGGGCAACCCAGGTCGCTGAGTTGTAACGCTGTCTGTAGGGGAGGGGTCCGAGAGGGAACAATGCCAGTTACTTGGCTCTCGTCTGGCTTCCAGTCACTGCCCCCACTACCTACAAGCAAATTTATCCCTCTGGTGCTGACTCCCAGGCGGGTGAGTTTGTGGGTGGGCTCTAGAACCCTACTGGTCTCTCCAGTGGACTCTCCTGTGAGGCTGGGAGTTTCTCCTGCCACCACAACCCCCACAGTATTTTACAGCCAGAGGTTTTGAGGCTTCTTTTCTCACACTGGACCCCTGAATTGCGCTGTCTGCCTCATTCCCCAGCTGTTACTCCCAGTTTATCTGCACACAAACGTGGGATTGCCTGGTCTGCCAGCCGCTGTCTGGACACGCGGCCTCTCCTCCAGGCTGCCCATCTCCGCCCCTCCGCCCCTACGCCCCTACAGTCTGTATGAATGTTTCTTCTTTAGCTCCTTGGTTGTCGGACTTCCACACAGTTTGATTTTCTGGCAGTTCTGGTTATTTTTTGTTTTTAAATGTGTTGTTGTCCTTCTTTTGGTTGTATGAGGAGGCAAAATGTACCTACCTATGCCTCCATCTTGGCCGGAAGCCTAAAACTTGCTCTCTTCATTCAACACTTGGTTTTGGACATCTCTTGAGGCCATACATACAAATTTAGTTCCTTTTTAAAAACAGTTGCATAGTAATGTTTCCATAATTTTATTAACCTTTCTCTTATCATAAACATTTAGGTTCTCTCTAGGGTTTCATATAACAAGATTTTTAAGGGTGTAGATTATACTGAATTGGAGGAAACCAACAGCATAGTGCTATTTTGGATTCTTGCTTCTTCTTTTTTTTTCTCGTGGATACAACCTCTTTTTTAAGTGTGGGTACCTTTGCCATTTGTGCTGGGATCACTGTGCCATCCTGGAATAGGAAGAGTAGAAAGATTCCTCAGGTTAAAATAATGTTGACAATATATGGGCAGTATCAGATAAAAGTGTACTCGCTTATTTAGCATTTACTCATTCTCCAGAGATTTTGTATTCCTGGGTGACCCACAAGGGAGGGAATTGAACCCTTTTAAGACAGGAAGTGTGATAGGACTGGAAGTTCTCAGTTACTTTTATTTTGAGCATATCCTTTCCACACACCCCAAATTGTTCTATTCATAGAGAAAACTCAAGTGATCTATTTAAAAGAGAAACTCAACTCAAACCAAATAAAATATAAGTTTGGCTCTTCTCAAAAATAATTTTGATATTGTTTCACATAGTTTTATTTTTATTTTATTTTTAAGGTTCTGTTGTTGTTATTCTCATTAGAAAGAGGGGGGAAGGGAGAAAGAGAGAGAAAAACATCAATACCAGGGATCAAAGACACGGTGTAGGTATGTGCTCTGACCAAGAATTGAACAGGTGACCTTTCAGTTTAAGGAACAATGCTTCAACCAACTGAGCCATATCAGCCAGGGGTGGTTAACATAGTTTGAGAAAATATATAGGTTTGGTCCTAATTGAAACTGATTCCTTAGAGGTTTTTCCAAAATAATTCTTGTTCAGTTTATAGTTAATTTTTTTAAAGCGTATTTGAGCTTGGTTCAGCACATTTCTGGTTGCAGAAGGTAGGAGTTGGGAGGATCTGAATGTAAGCACTTTTTTTTTTTAACTAAAATGTAGCACTTGTTTCCTTGTAGGATGGAGATCCGTCACTTCCTCCTGAAAAGAGGAAACAGGTAAGACTTATTCCTGATCTGAGATAACTCTTAAATTGTTTGCATTGGTGCCTTACAACAGTTAAAGAGATTGGAGAGTTCCACAACGTATAGAGAAATCTTTTATTTTCCAGAATCCTTTTGTACTACTGGGGAGAGTGGGTGGTAGGGAAATTCTGACTGTAAAGAGGGGATGGGGATGGGGTGTGGTGATGGGTGAAGGAAACCCAGTGAATTCCAACAGGATGGAAGAGGACACCCCAGTCAACCACATTCCCTTTCTTTGCTGTTGGGAACCCACGGGTTTAGAGTTCATGACTATAGCACTTTAGCTTACTCTTCCATGGATGATACTCTTCTACTGTTTATCTTCCGCCACTTCAGACATTTTTAAAATTTTGTATTTTATTTGATTTATACTTTAGTATAGTTAGCATACGATATTATATTAGCTTCAGATGTAGTGATTCAACATTCATATACCTTATGATGTGACCACCACAGTACGTCTGGGACTCATCTGTCATTAAAAGTTATTATGATATTATTGACTCTCTCCCTGTGCTGTACACTACATTCCCATGAATTGTTCATTTTATAACTAGAAGTTTGTGCCTCTTATTCCCCTTCACCTTTTCACCCCTTCCCCCACCTCCTCCCCTCTGGCAACCACCAGTTTGGTCTCTATATCTATGCATCTGTTTTTGTTTTGGACTTTGTTCATTTGTTTTGTTTTTTTTAGATTTCACATATAAGCGAAATCACATGATATTTGTCTTTCTCATTCTGACTTTTTTACTTAGTGTAATGCCCTCTGTGTCCATCCATGTTGTATTGTCACAAATGTTAGTATTTCAATTTTGTCATATTCCTGAGTAATAATCCACTGTGTATATGTACCACATCTTCTTTATCCATTCATCTGTTGGTGGACACCCAGCACTTCAGACTTATAAAAGCCATCTCACCAGCAAAACTCACAAGCCGTTTATGTTCTTTTCTCCTAAATGGTAGCTGACATAATTTATTGACATATTTAGTTTTTCCCTGCAGATTTCAGATGCACACTTTATCAATGAACAAATCCTTGTTTTTTTATACATGGATCTGTTTTTGGACTTCCTGTTCTGTTCCTTTGAGCTTTCTATATAGTCCTGTGATTGTACCATATTATTTTGGCTCTCCTTTATAGTACTTTTAATGCCTATTTGGGCTCATTTCCTTCCCTTTGTGCTTATTTTTCAGGAAGATACACTTTCAAACATTTTATTAGGACCTCCTCTGATGTCCCCAACCTCCACCAAAACCCATATCTATTGATATTTTGATTCGGTGTTTGTTAACTTTATAGAATAATTTGAGGATTGTTAACATTTTCATATGATCATGTCATACATCAAATTTCTTTTAATACAGTTGTGCGCACACACACATATATGCATACATACATATTGCTTTTTCCAAAGATACCTTTGTTAGAACTTTTCTTAACTTCACGAGTGTTCTATACTGATGTACCCTGAAGTATAGCCTTTCACGGGGTTGACGGGAGCCCGGATGATGGTGATATTAATGCTGTTATTAATGCTGTTCAATGTTATTGGAAGTCTCTGCACCAAGGGAGAGCTTCAGAACTGCTGGATGCAAATAAGGACAGATTTGTTTGGTCTCTCCATAACTGTAATGGCTAATTCAACACCCTGCTTTTGTTCATTGATCCTATACTTGGCACTGCATAGAAACTCCTTGGGTTCCTTACCTTGTGATTTTTGATGGTGTGTTAACCATATGCCCAGGACACACACACACACACACACTTACCCTTAAATAGCAGTTCAGTTCTGTGCTTATCCATTTAGTCATTCAGTTCTACTCACTCCCATAACCTCCTTGCTATTTTATTTTATTACTTTACAAGGCTTCAGGTTTGATCTAAAGTTGAATTTTTCTATGGAGCCAATTGATTTTTTTTTTTCTAAGCAAAATTACATGGAAATGTATTATTAACATCTAAAAACTGGGATCCTGAATCTGGAATTGCTAGGTGCTTTTGTTTTTGTGTTTTTGGTGGTTATGAGCAGTCATCTTTGCCATAATTTTAGAGTTTGTTAGTATTCATGAAGGAGTTTTACAGTGTAAATGAATTCACATTCCATGACTTTGATAAAAAATTTACATTGACTGAGGAGAATCTGATGAATTCCAGCAAGTCTGTCAAGCCGCATTCGTACAGCTCTTTAAAAAAAAATTTCAAGGTCCTAAACTCTGGATTTGTAGATTTTAATATAGCTTTAATATGGCACTGAGTTCTTGTCCCTCTGGGCTTAGTATGGTGCTGTGAGCTTGTACTCTGCGCCCTGTCTGCCGGAGCGGGAGCTGCTGACCTGCTGCCTGAGTTAGGGTGCACTGGGGTGCAAGTGACAGAAACTGGAAACTGCTTGGGCAATACAGGAACCGATGACCTAACAGAACCAGAAGTTCAGAGGCAGGCTCCAGACGCTGTGCGGTCATCAGGTGCCCGTTCTCTCCCACTGTGTCCCACTTGGCAAATAAAAATACAGGACGGGCAGGTCACTCTAAATTTCAGGTGGACAATTAATACTTTTTCAGTATAAAGATAAGTTCCATGCATTATTAGGGACATATCATTGCTAAACATTATTCATTGTTTATCTGAAATTCAAACTGAACTCGGTGTTCTGTATTTTATCTGACCACTCGATCGCTGTGCCACTTTTAACGTCAGCTTCCTCTTGAACATCACATGAGTTTTTCTTCTAAGACTGGTTCCTCTAAGCAGGGAGGCAGAAAACCCAGCCCCAGAATATAAGTCCTTCCCTCCAGTCTAACTGGGTGAGTGTTGGATGTGTTTCCCTTCCTGGGCTACTAGCATTCACCAGGAGAGTACTACGTTAATTGCCTTAGATGAAGCACCCGGGATGGAAGAGCTATGAGGGAGCCAGCAGAGACACCCATCAAACTAATTGTGTGGCCTTGGGAAGGTTGCTTTGGGTATCTGAGCCTCAGCTTTCTCATCCATTAATTGGCAGAAAGTGGTACCCACCACATAGTGTGGCTATAAGAAACAAATGAGATATTGCAAGTAGAGTGTTTTCAGTTCCATTTTTCTGGACCAGTGGTTCTTATACTCTTGAGAATCCGAGATATCTTTGAGAATACAATGACAGATAAGGGTCTTTGCTCCAGAGATGGGACACATACATGCCTACATTTTTGCATTCAGTTACCTGGATTCATACGCTATCTGCAACCCATTCATGGACCCTTGGGATTCCTGGGACTACATTTAAGACCTGCTACTGTAAATGTGTTGAGGTTCTTCTCAGATATTAGTGGAAACAATACCACATCCTCTGTCTTTGTAGTGCCTCGTGCTTTTTTCCCAGAGACTATATATGCATGTGAGGCTGGCTGGCTGGGAAAATGGATGGATGGATGGACGGATTGATGGATAGCTGGATAAATGGATGGATGGATGGATGGATGGATGGCTGGGTGGATAGCTGGATAAATGGATGGATAAATGGATGGATGGATGGATAGATAGCTGGATAAATGGATGGATGGATGGATGGATGGATGGATGGATGGATGGATGGAATCTCCCAACTATCTTCTGAGGTCACACTGGCAAGTTCTGTCATGTGTAAAGTCTCAAGGGTGCATTATGGGCATCATTGATTCAAATTTAACCCAACCACTTGCTGGCTGGGTGATCTTGTGTCACCTATCTGAGACTCAACTTCTTTCTCTTCCAAATGAACATAATAATGAGACATATTTGTAAAGTTTTTATGAGGAATTGGTATGAAAATGCTTCAAACACTGACTTCCTTGTACTTGGTGAGTGCTCCATGGTAAGTAAAAAAAATTGAGTTGGCTGTTTTTTATTTTTCTCATGACTTGTCCAAGGTCACATTGCAGGTTGATAGAGCAGGACTAGAAATCTCCTAACTTATGGTTCAGGGTTCAAGTTCAGCTGTTTTGGTTCTACATCCGATTCTTGGAATGTTTGATTGGAGAGCAAATATGATCAATATTTAATCCAACCCATTCTGTAAGTCCAAAGCTTAAATGTGCTATTCAAAGCCGTCTGCTTCAATGTGGTGGAGAACCCGAAATGGACATAGGAATTTTTACCTAAGCCAGTGTTCTTTCCTGGGGTGAACACAATCTGGCCATAATTTCTTCCTGCTTTTTTTGTCTCCTCCTCAGAGGACAGACCAGATCTTTCATGGTTGTGGTTCTAGAAATATAGTTGTCGAGGCTTTCTTTTGGAACTTAGAATCCTTTTTAAGACAACTCAATTTCCAATGGTAAATCATCCGTTAAAGAAGCTGTGGGGAAATCACGACAACAGCAATGCACTAATAGCTTCTGGTGGAATGTTGAAATGAAAATTTCTTCTTGACACTCCAGGCAGAGCTGGGCACCGAGTACCTCTTTGTACCAAAGCGAGAGATCACCAAAAGGTCTCTGGCAACCCTTTAAATATTTTTCTTTTGCTAAACAAACAGTCTCTCCAAGGGGGACAACAAGGGGAATTGAAATGATGGTCTTGTGTTAATCTTCTTATAAAGTGGGATTTGGGGGATCACAGCAGCACATTTTCCCCACACAAATTCCTCCTTGAATAAATCATCAGCTGCCTCTGTGTCTCTTCCAGTTTTGATTTCAAGCTGATACACTACGGGAGACGTTCCTCCTGGTCCATGAGGCAGCCTTTGCCCTCTTCCATTAAAAAGAGATGGCTTGCCCTGACTGGTGTTGCTCAGTGGGTTGGGCATCCTCCCACTAAGTGAAAGGTTGCAGGTTCAATTCCCAGTCAGGGAACATGCCTGGGTTGCAGGCTGGTCCCTGGTTGGGGCATGTGAGTGCAAGAGGCAGCCAATTGATGTTTCTCTCCCTCTCTTTCTCCCTCCCTTCCCCTCTCTCTAAAATTAAACAAATAAAATCTTTAAAAGTGACAGCTTATTTAGACAGCAGCGTGCGCCAGGATG